GCCCCCAGCCCCTTTATTCCACCCCCTGGGGGCCATGGGTCTGAGCCGAACCCCTTTAACCCCCTGCCCTGGGGTGGGGGGCTGTGGGATTTGGCCCCCAGCCCCGCGGTGCAGCCCCCAGCCCCTTTTTCCCCCCCACGAGGCCGCATCCTGACCTGGCCTCCAGACACATCTGAGCCTTCTCCTCCCAACGTTGAGCGATGGTGAGCAGCTCCTGCAGCTCAGCCATGGCCACATCGACGGCCGGGCTGGGGGCGACGGTTCGGCCAGCTTGGATGAGACCCCGCATGACGGGAAGGGGGACGCGGGCACGCGGGGACCGTAAGGTGGCCGTCACCTCCTCCAACCAAGCGGCCTGGGCTAGCTGCCGTTCCAACCGCCCGCTCTCTACCTCCACACCCAACCGAGCTCCTCGTTCCAGCAACCCCCGCAGAGCCCCCGGTCCTGGGGGAGCCGATTCCAGCGCTGCCCGTGCCTCCGCTTGGAAAGCTTCCACCCGCTCCAGCAAGGCCTAGAGGGAGGGGACAGCATCGGTGACACTGTGTGTCCCCCTAAAAGGAGGTGGGGGGGGACACACACATGCAGGAGGTGGCCCCCGCAGCTCACCTGGACCTCCCCGATCTGGTGCATGACGCAGGGCAACTGGTTCATCTGCTCCAGGAAGGCACGGAGCTCCTCCACCGTCAGCGAGGGTGCTGGTACCCTGAAGTCACCAGAGGGGACACAGGGATGTCATTCCTGGGGTGACCGGGACCCGGGATGGGGATATTGGGGTGGCTGGGGTTCGCAGGGGGTGGGATGGGGACATGGGGGTGGCTGGGGTCTACCAGGGTGGCTCAGGTTCACAGGGGAGAGGATGGGGGACACTGGGAATGGGATGGGGACACCAGAAACAGGATGGGGGCCACACAGGACACAGGGGCAGCCGGGGACACCAGGGACAGGATGGGGACACCAGGGACAGGATGGGGACACCAGGGACAGGATGGGGACACCAGGGACAGGATGGGGACACCAGGGACAGGATGGGGACACCAGGGACAGGATGGGGACACCAGGGACAGGATGGGGACACCAGGGACAGGATGGGGACACCAGGGACAGGATGGGGACACCAGGGACAGGATGGGGACACCAGGGACAGGATGGGGACACCAGGGACAGGATGGGGACACCAGGGACAGGATGGGGACACCAGGGACAGGATGGGGACACCAGGGACAGGATGGGGACACCAGGGACAGGATGGGGACACCAGGGACAGGATGGGGACACCAGGGACAGGATGGGGACACCAGGGACAGGATGGGGACACCAGGGACAGGATGGGGACACCAGGGACAGGATGGGGACACCAGGGACAGGATGGGGACACCAGGGACAGGATGGGGACACCAGGGACAGGATGGGGACACCAGGGACAGGATGGGGACACCAGGGACAGGATGGGGACACCAGGGACAGGATGGGGACACCAGGGACAGGATGGGGACACCAGGGACAGGATGGGGACACCAGGGACAGGATGGGGACACCAGGGACAGGATGGGGACACCAGGGACAGGATGGGGACACCAGGGACAGGATGGGGACACCAGGGACAGGATGGGGACACCAGGGACAGGATGGGGACACCAGGGACAGGATGGGGACACCAGGGACAGGATGGGGACACCAGGGACAGGATGGGGACACCAGGGACAGGATGGGGACACCAGGGACAGGATGGGGACACCAGGGACAGGATGGGGACACCAGGGACAGGATGGGGACACCAGGGACAGGATGGGGACACCAGGGACAGGATGGGGACACCAGGGACAGGATGGGGACACCAGGGACAGGATGGGGACACCAGGGACAGGATGGGGACGCCAGGGACAGGATGGGGACACCAGGGACAGGATGGGGACACCAGGGACAGGATGGGGACACCAGGGACAGGATGGGGACACCAGGGACACGGGAGTAGCTGGATTCTATGGGGGATGGGACACGACCCACAGGGGACAGGACAGGGACACGGGAGTGGCTGGAGGACACTGGGAACAGGAAAGGGACAGAGGGGTGGGATGGGGTCCCCGTGGGACACAGGGGCAGCTGGATTTCATAGGGGATGGGACAGGGATGCAGGGGACAGGATGGGGCCCATAGGGGATGGGACAAGGACACAGGGGTGGCTGGGGGACACCAGGAACAGGACGGGGACACAGGGGTGGGATGGGGTCCACGTGGGACAGAGGGGCAGCTGGATTCCATGGGGGACAGGACAGGATCCATAGGTGAAGGGACAGGGACACGGGGGTGGCTGGGGGACACCAGGAACAGGACAGGGACAGAGGGGTGGGATGAGGTCCATGTGGGACACAGGAGTAGCTGGATTCCATAGGGGAAGGGACAGGACTCACAGGGGAGGGGACACGGGGTGGCTGGGGTCCATGTGGACCAGGATGAGGACACAGGGAAGCAGAAGAGGGACAGGGAACTGGCAGTGGCCCGAGGCAAGAGGACAGGGACACGAAGAGGAAAAAAAAAAAAAAAAAAAGGAGCCAGGACAGTGAAAAAAAAAAATCCCGCCGGAGCCGAAGACGACAGATGATTCTGCCGATGCCTGTGGGGGTGGCTGGGGGACACCAGGAACAGGACAGGGACAGAGGGGTGGGATGAGGTCCATGTGGGACACAGG